GATATCTTCTTCCCTGCTCCTATATCCACCCTTCCTCCATCTCCACCCTCCCACTCCCCCAAAACAACTTTGAGATACCATCTTACACCTGTCAGAATGGTTAAAATCAAAAACACCAATGATAGTCTTTGCTGGAGAGGATGTGGAGTAACGGGAACACTCATCTATTGCTGGTGGGAATGCAAACTTGTGCAACCACTTTGAAAATCAATGTGGTGGTTTCTCAGGAAATTGGGAATCAACCTACCTCAGGATCCAGCAATACCACCCTTGGGAATATACCCAAGAGATGCCCAATCATACTACAAAAGCAATTGTTCAACAATGTTCACAGCAACATTACTTATAATAGCCAGAACCTGGAAACAACATAGATGCCCCTCAATGGAAGAATGAATAAAAAAGTGTGGAATATATACACATTAGAGTACTACTCAGCAGTAAAAAATAATGACATTTTGAATGTTGCATGCAAATGGATGGAAGTAGAAAACACTATCCTGAGATAACCCAGACCCAAAAGGATGAATATGGTATGTACTCACTCATTAGTGGACTCTAGCCATAAAAAAATGACATTAGGCCTATAGTTCACAAGCCTAGAGAAGCCAAATAACAAGGTGAACCCAAAGAAAAACATATATAGATCCTCCTGGAAATTAGAAGCAAACAAAAATATTTTCTACAGTCCAAAGAGCAGTCAGGGTTCCCTGCCCTGTGGAAAGTCCAAGGTCCTCCCCCCTCCGTCCATGTCTAGGAAGGTGAACATCCAAACTGGCTAGGCTCCCACAAAGCCAGAACATGAAGTAGGATCAAAACCCAGTGCCATTGTCCTTGGCTTCTCATCAGGAGGGGGAGAGGAGTGGGGGAAGGGGGAGAAGGGTGGGAGGAGGGGGAGGGAAATCGACGCTGGGAGGAGGGGGAAACTATTTTTTCCTTTTCTCAAAAAAAATAAAATGTAAAAAATGTATATCTTTACACTGCTGGGAATTGATTTCAAGGCTTTGCCCATTTTTGACAATTTCTGTCTCATTGAGCTACAGTATCAGTTTTCAAAGAAACTCTTTACACATATAGAGGAAAATTTAAAACCAAAAGAGGAAAAAAATATTTTAATGTTTCTCATGAACAATCATTATCATTTTTTCTAAGAGAAGGTAAAATAAAAACTTTATCATAAAATTCAGGGACTCAAAATAATTATCAAAACCACTGTGCTAGTATCATATATTTGTTTTTTTCACTAAGAGACTAATTTCAGAGTTATATTGTTCCTGCATCAAATGAGACAAACTGTGTAGAGACATACCAAGCAATAAATGCTATGGGAAACAAGCTTCAATTATTTTTTGTGTTTCCATAAATTTCTGAGAAATAAAAGAAAGCCCATTTATCCTCAGCAATATTTTTCTCTGTCCTTATATGTGTGCCTATGATGTACAAACATGTTCCTTACATGCTGGATGTGGTATTGTATAGATCCAGCACTGAAAAGAGTAGAGGTATTGTATCTAAATTTACTGTTGAAGGCAAACAAGAAAAGGAAACAGAAATGTATTGTTTACCAAAAATTGCCAGTAACCTTGTAAACATAGTTCAACACAGTTTTTCCCTAAAGAAGTGACTGGGAAGCCCCTTTGAATTATTTATGCTAGCCATCTGTTCCTTGCTTTTCATTTCTTCCAGAACATAGAAATCTCATGGCCTTCAGACTTTAGCTACGACTACTTGCAGATTAGCAGCTGCTTCCTTTTCAAAAATCCACACTGAAGCTGTTTATCCTAAATTGGGGAATTCCACCACTATCTCCAGGGCTTCTCTAGAATTAATCTATTTAAATAGTATTTTTCATAAAAGCAGGTGCTTAAGTGGCTTATTTGAGTCTAGCATTTTAACAATAGTACACAGAATAAAGTACTTCCCATTTATTCTGCCAAAACAAATAGTATGAGTTTAGGTATTAAGATTTCTTTTGCTCTGGAAACAGTGTCTGGGTGTCAACAATATCTTACTGATGAGGCCATATTAATCAATAAGAAATCTCTATCTAGCATCTATCAGTTAGAATTAGTGATTTTCAAGTTTGTTAAAATTATTTTCTCAGCAATCAATGTTTCAAAAATTATGTTGGTGACTGGGAGTAATAGAAATTTATAGGCTCACAATTGTGTGAGCAAATATTCACAACCAATATGTCAAAAGAAAGAAAGAAAGAGAGAAAGGAAGAAACAAAAAACACACAATATTGAATACTTTGCAATCTCTACAGAATGCTTGCTTTCTTTTTGCCTCTTCCTGATTTTGGTGGAGTTTGGAATTTTTTTTATTTATTTTTTTTATCACTCCATAAACCATCTCTTTGGTGACATTAGGGGCCTATTTTATGATTAAGACTAAAACTAATGCGTGACCTAATAAATAAATAAATAAAAATGAATAATAAATGCTTACCTAAGCAAAAGTTGTTAAGCCTTTGAGACCTGTGTGAACACTAGAAAAAAAAATCTTGAATGAATAGTAAAATGGAGTTGTGGTTCATCTATTTATAGTATATCTGATTGAAAATTGGTATCTTCTAAAAACAAATTTGAGGTAGAAACCTATTCTTGATAATGAAATTAATGATAGTTATAGCAGATCTTTGAGAAATACTTTATTGTTTTATAAAATAAGACAAATACTGGTAGATTTTTTTATTTTAAATTGTCTGAAAAAGAATTAAAATTTCTAAATTTTCTTAGGGAAGATTTATAAATAAGGTGTTGATCTATAATTAGGACACTTGTGCAAAGATTAAACGTTGAGAACACAGAGACATTCTAGGATTAAGTCCAGGTTTGTGGAAACACTATGTCTACAGCAATGATGGTTTTCCCAAATCCAGTAACAATTTGAGTTTCAGGCTTAATAAATAATTAACTTTGAGGAAATCTATTGTTTAGTATTCCACTCATTTCAAAACAATGAGATTGATATGATTTTTATAAATATAGATAACCCATATATTTGAGAGAATAATAAGATGGGTACATTTGTACAGTATTCCTTGATGTAGTTTCTATATGAATCACAAAGACAAATAAGAAAAATGATTTTCTGAATTTTTTACTTGTTTCTCTTATGTAAGATCACTTGCTGCTCTTTAGGAGGACTCAATTTTAGTTTTCAAAACAAGTAAAATACAGGACAACTCTCAACAACCTTAAATACAGAGGATTGGATGCCCCTGATCTCCATGGGTATTGCACTCATATGCATATACCTATACACAACTCCACACACATATGCGCAATTTCACCTAAAATATATCTTTAAAAAATGACCTCAATCAAAAAAAAAAAAAAGCCGGGCGGTGGTGGCGCACGCCTTTAATCCCAGTACTCGGGAGGCAGAGGCAGGCGGATCTCTGTGAGTGCGAGGCCAGCCTGGTCTACAAGAGCTAGTTCCAGGACAGGCACCAAAAACTTCAGAGAAACCCTGTCTCAAAAATCAAAATAAATAAATAAATAAATAAATAAATAACCTCAAAAACCATTTGAACACAAATTGCTACTTTTTATGGAAAATGATAAGGTAGCTCTTTATTGCTTAAAAATATGCCGATACTTTCTCTTCACTGTTGAAATTCAGGTAAGGTATTAATAATATTCAAGCTCATATCTTAAAAATAAATTTCCAAATCTTATTACAGTAATTAATGAATATAGATCACAGAGTGAAAATTAAGACAGTTGAAAAATAGCAATTTTGTGGTTGATTATAATAATTTTACTTTTTAAGAATATAATATGATTACATAATTTCTCCCTTTCTTCTTCATATCTTATCTTTCAATTTATCCTGCTATTTCATACTCATGATCTCTTTTCCTTTAATCTATTAATGTACACATTCAAACATTCTTAAATATTCAAATAAATTTTCTCATTTAATATACATAATAGCAATATGTATCTTGTAATTAAATAAATATTTATTTACTTAAGTTATGATATACTTATTTATTCTGTGTATCTATTCTCATTAAAAACTTAAATTTTACTATGAGAATTGATTTTAAAAATTGAAAGTATAATTTTAAGAGATTTTTTTTTTTTACCTAAACAAAATCTCCAATGAGCTTATTCACTCTCTTAATGTCAATCATAGTCCTAATGCCACTTCTCAAGCTGACTCATATTAAATTCTGGGAGGTCTTTAAAAATACTAATGTGTGTCTTCCATCTCAACCAAATTTGATGTGATTGGTGTGAGATGGATTCTTGACATGGGGAATTTGCAAGCCTTCAGGTGTTGCTAAATTGAATCAAAGTAAAAATTAAGAACCAATGAGGCAGGGAATTATTGTTCCTCACTGGACTTCAGTGGTAAATTTCACAGCTCTAAAGGGAGGTACTCTACACATGCTTCCTTTCTACATGCAGTTGAGTATTATCATTTGAAAAGGCTTCCATTATCTTTTCCATATGCAAATCTAGTTTATACAGCTGTAATTATCTGTGTTTTTATTAAGATATTTGGTAGTTACTGTAACATTTAAAAATATTTCACTAAAAATATGACCAGTTCTACACAATCTGCTAAGAAAAATTTTGTGGAAAGTACAATACATTTAATGATGATTAGGTGATGATTATATTATTTATGGAATACATAAATTAGTCAATTATTTAAAAAGTTTCATCTCAATATGCATAATAAAACTATTTTACTTGAAGAAATAAAACCTGAATATTTTTCTTAATAGAGCTTCTTATAATTTACCTTTATAATTAAAATTATAAACTGAATTATGTAAAACAAAACTTATTTACTACAATTAGTAATATAAAATCATTTATAGAATATAGGAAATTCTTGCCCTACACTAGCATGTTATTCTGTAGGCAGACACTGCTTGTTTGTTTCCTGATAGTTACAGAAGCTATATTAATTGCAATACTGTTTGGCCAATAGCTTAGGCATTTTTCCAGCTAGCTCTTACATCTCAATTAACCTATTTCTTTTATTTTGTATTTTACCACGTGGATCATGGCCTACTGGTAAGATTCTACTCTCTCTATATATATTTTCCAGCAAGGGTATATTATGTTAACCTGTTGTCTGAAAGAAGTTTCTTTATTTAACAATGGCAATAAAAAAATCATATTCATTGCATACAGATGGAAATCCCAAATCAAATAACAGGAAAAAATAATAATCCTGAGACAAACTAAGAAATATTAACCTATATGAGTTGTAAGAAGTATGCTAGAAGTTCTACATGAAACATACAGCATTAAACGCCTACATGAAATTATACGTTAACAATCATGTAAAAAGGAGACCATGAATTTGGAAGAGAACAAGGTGAATAGAAGTGAGAATTTTGAATCGGAAAGAGAATGATATAAGTGAAATATCTATTCAAAAAATAAATACTTTAAAAATAATATGTAGTGAATAAACAGGAAATCTTATGAGGTTCATACTTGAAAGTAAATATTTCAATATACTTCTAAAAATTTAAACTACAAATAATTATACTTCTTGGCAGACACTTATGGCACACACCCTTAATTACTGCACTTGGGAGGCAGAGGCTAACACTTCTCTGAGTTCAAGACCAGCCTTATCTACAGAGCAAGTTTCAAGAAGCCAAAGCTACATAGAAGAACACTGTGTTGATGAATCAAAAAGAAAAACATAAAAAGGGATTTTCAAACATTAAAATATATTTAAGAAGATGGTATATATACAAGTCATTTTTCCTCATCAAAATTATCATGAGGCTATATCTAGACAAGGAAAACAGAAACAAATAAAGAAGAAAAACTTATGAAACAATACCCAATATGAACACAATGAATATTCATGCAGTTATCCTCAGTCAATATTCACAACCTGAACTCAAGAACAAAATCAAGTGAAATTCACTCAAAGAAAGTGTAACTTAAGTAAATAAGTAATATATCACATTAACAACTCAATACAGCAACATAATAATTTAACAGACACTACAAAATATTTGATGAAATTTAATAAAACTTTCTCAAGAAAGAGGGTATAAATCACAATAAAGCAGCATAAACCCTCAAAATTAAAATCCCACAACAGATGTTCTACTGGATGGTAAAAACTTGGAAGTCTTTCTTGAGTCTGGAGCAAGGCCAGACAGGAAAGTCTTGACTCTGCCATTCAGCATGGGACTGGAAATCTCAGCCAAAGAAACCAAGCAGAGGAGACAAATAAATCACCCAAAATTGGAATGGAAAATGAAGTTCACCTTGATTGAAGATAACAAGATCTTATACATTGGCAATTCTAAATACCCCACTAAAACTCTCTCAGAAATCAATAAATTTAATATAATTTCAAGATTAAATATCAACATACAAAATTCAGAAACACTTTTCAACACTGACAAAAAAAAATTCCCAGCAGAAGAAAAACATAAGATATAGTTTTAAAACCTTGTTAAATAAAATTATCAGGAATTCTTTTATGTGAGAAACATCATTTTTATGTTGTTAATTATTAACAAATACCAATAATACAAAGAGTTGGTTTCATATATAGCATGCCTCTTTCCCTCCATACCTCCTTTCTCTCCCTCTCTCTCTTCTCACACCCAGTTCTTCCTAGTTTATTACTGCTTCCCCTCTACAGGTCAAATATGTTAAAGTTTTCCTAAAAATGACAGAATTCCATTCAGTTTCATGACTGAATGCTCCATTTTTACATACATACCATATACTTTTGTCTTTTTTTGCCTTGATCATTTTAATGGTTCTGAAATAACCATGGCTATACAAGTATCTCTTGTGCATACAGGCATTTAAATCAAATATATTTCCAAGATTAATATGCCTGAATATTTTTTTTAATTTAGAACTTTTAAGTTTTGTGGGGGATGGATTATAATGTTCTTTTTGTATTTTTGATATTATCACCCATTATGTGTGGGGGTGTTTTGCCTTCATGGTTGATATTCATCAAATGCATATCAGAAGAGGACTTCAGATACTCGGTGCTTTTTTGTTTTATTTTGTTTTTATGTAACATGAGGGGGCTGCCTTGTTTGTTTGTTGTTGGGGTTTTGTCCAGCCCGGCCCCCCAGCTGTTTAGTCCCAGAGAAAATCACACATAGATCTCTATAAGTTATAAAGCTGATTGGCCCATTAGCTCTAGCCTCTCACTGGGAGACTCTCACATCCCGATTAACCCATTTTTCTGATCTATGTTAGCCATGTGGTTCAGTACCTTTTTTCAGTGGGGCAGCTCACATCCTGCTGCTTCAGTGATTTGGACAGGAGTGGGAGGAATCAACTTTCTCCTTCCCAGAATTCTCCTGTTCTCATTGTATCATTTTTACTTCCTGTCTGGTTTTCCCGCCTTTATTTGCTGCCTGGCCAATCAGCATTTATTTATAACATGATTGACAGAATACAGACATTTATTTATTTATTTATTTATTTTCCATTCAAATATATACACTTCTTTCCCCCCTCCCAATCTCCTCCCACTCCCCCATAACCCCTCCTTCCTCTCCCTCTCTGCTTGAGAGAGGGCAGGGAACCCCTGCCTGTGGGAAGTCCAAAGCCTTCCTACATCCAGACCTAGGGAGCTATGCATCCATATAGACTAGGGTCCCAAAAATCCAGAACATGCCATAAAAAAAAGTCCCAGTGCCTTTATCAATGGCTTCTCAGTCAGCCCCCATTGTCAGCCACAATCAGAGACTGGTTTGATCACATGCTCATTCAGACCAGGTCCAGCTGGATTTGGTGAGCTCCCATTAGAACAGGCACACTGCCTCAGTTGATGGACCAACCCCTCGCAGTCCTGACTTCCTTTCTCGTCTTCTCCCTCCTTCTGCTCTTCAACTGGACCTTAGGAGCTCAGTCCGTTGCTCTGATGAGAGTCTCTGTCTCTATCTCCATCTGTCACCAGAGGAAGATTCTATGGTGATTTTTGAGATAATCATCAGCGTATCTTCTTCGCTGTTCCTATATATGCCCTTTTTCCATCTCCACCCTCCCACTCCCCAAAGCTGTTGCCAGTCCTTCCCTTCTCCCTTCCTTCTCCCCCTCTCCTCTTCCTCCAACCTCACCCCCAACCCCATGCTCACAACATTCTGGTTTGCTTCCAGTTTCCTGGAGGATCTATATATGCTTTTCTTTGGGTTCACCTTGTTATTTGGCTTCTCTGGGCTTGTGAACTATAAGTTTAATGCCCTTAGTTTATGGCTAGAGTCCACAAATGAGTGAGTACATACCATATTCATCTTTTTGGGTCTGGGTTATCTCACTCAGGATAATATTTTCTATTTCCATTCATTCTTTTAAAATAAGTTATTAGTCTCTTTTTTACTTGCCATTATCATGAGAGGGGGCCTCAGTGTAGTTTTACTTTGGATTTTATTGTTGGAAAAATATTTCTGCATTTTATTCATTTTTTTTTAAATTTTTCCAATAGTTATGGCTTATCATGATAATTACACAGAGTAGCCAGCACCCTGCCCAGCAGAATTAAAGACTTTCTGGCAAAACAAGAGAGGGATTCAGAAGCTAACCTCAAGTTATACCTTACTTTTTGATAAACTTTTCATTCATTCCTTCTGTCAAGCAGCAATAATGTACATGTTAATAGGAGCTTCAACTTGTCATTTAAAAGTAAAAGTTATAACTAAAAAATTAAAAAAAACTCATTGGAAATGCTTAATAACATAAAAACATAGACTAAAAATGCTTGTGAGGTGAACACTTTGAAAGGGAATAAATGAGAAATTAAAATATTTCAGTAACTTTGGAACTCAGACAGATGTTCAAATTCTGTCTCAGTAGAGATCTACAAGGATTACAGAACAAAAGTTGCTCAGATCTAAGAAAAATTTTATAAACCTGGCCAAGATATATGTTTAACCGATCTGAAGGTTGAATGTATTCCAAAGTGGATAAATACACACACACACACACACACACACACACTCACACACACACACACACACACACACACGGGCTGGAGAGATGGCTCAGCGGTTAAGAGCATTGCCTGCTCTTCCAAAGGTCCTGAGTTCAATTCCCAGCAACCACATGGTGGCTCACAACCATCTGAAATGAGATCTGATGCCCTCTTCTGGCTGCAGGCAGACACACAGACAGAATATTGTATACATAATAAATAAATAAATATTAAAACACACACACACACACAATAACAGGAAGTTACATCCAATTCCTGTATCTGGAAGCAAATGGTAGAAACAAAGTCAAATGTTTACTCATGTATCATGAAGACCAGAAAGAAGTGACAACTTTCTTCTGTTGGGAAAGACATAGCAAACAGTTTCAACAACAACAATCTCAACCATCCTTTTCACAAACTAAAGAGATTTTTAAGATGTTTTCTGATAAAATAAAAACTATAGAAAATAAGAATATGTTCAATTGATTTTCTTTTTCTGTTGAGTTCTCTAAGAAATGACAAATAGAGTCAAAACTTTTAATAGAATCTGAAGTATTATTTGATATTTGAAGGAAAAAACTTTAATTATAGTTATAACTGAATCATAGTGATAGGTCTTAGCAGGAATTAACTTTATTTTATTATGTGAAGTTAAAATACCAATACTAATATACTGTACATTTCATAATATATAATTTATATGGTATATAATAACTAAAGGTAATTTCAACCAAAATCTACATGAACAGAAGCACCCTAAGTGCTTCAATTAAAACAATGGGATTCTTGAAAATTTCATGAACAGAGAGACAGAAAAGAAGAAATGACAAAGTAAAAATAAGCAGTGAAATGAAAGTGGAGATGACAGATGGAATGAAACCATCATTTATGTAAATACATTTACTTTATTTGCATATGTAAAAACTCCATGTGACCTAAAATACCTCTCTTGAGGAATAAGTCACAAAATGTGGTACATCCATACTATACAATTTTACTCATCAATCCCAAGAACTCTCTTTACCATGGATCCACAGTTACTCTGATAAAGCTCTACTCTACGGCATCATAACGAGGAAAAGGAAGCCAGTCTTTA